ATAAACAGGGGTGTAGGGGTAGGGGAATGGTGGTGTTAGGTGGGCACCAGTAGTAGGTACGACCTGGTTGGTCGATGGGAGGGATGAATGAATCTGGTTGGTAGCTGGAAGGGAGGGTTAGTAGGTGGAATGGAAGGGAGGAGGTGGGCTGGAAAGGGAGCAGGGGGATGGGGTGGGGGGAAGGCTATTTAAAGTAGAGAACTCAATGTTGAGTCCTCTAGGCTGTAAGGTGCCCAGGCGGAAGATAAGGTTTTGTTCCTCAAATTTGTGTTCTGAATTGCTGCAATACTGGAGGAGGCCGAGGATGGAGTGGGAGGGGTGAGTGGGATGGTAAGTGGGAGGGGTTGGAGTTGAAATGGGCGGTGACTGGGAGGTTAAGCTGGCCGTTATGGGCTAGGCAAAGATGCTCGACAAAACAGTCACCTAGTCTATGTTTGGTCTCACCAATGTAGAGAAGACCACATCAGGAGATTGGAGGAGATGCAGGTGAGGCTCTGTCTCACCTGGAAGGACTGTTTAGGGCCCTGAATGGAGGTGAGGGAGGTGGTGTGTGGGCAGGTGTTGCATCTTTTATGGTTACAGGGGAAGGAACCGGGAGGGGGGAATTGGAGTGCTTGATGGGCAGTGTGGGGTGAACTAAGGAGTAGCAATGGGAATGGTCCTTTTGGAAGGTAGAGACTGGTGGGGAGTGGAAGATGTTCCAGGTGGTCGGGTCTAATTGGAGTTGGTGGAAGTGTTTGAGGATGATATGTTGGATGTGGAGGCCGGTAGGATGGAAAGTGAGGACAAGGGGGACCCTATCTTTATTATGTTTGGCGGGGTTGGTTTAGAGCTGTGGAACAAGGAATGATGAGGCACGGAGGGCTGTGTGGATGACAGAGAGGGGAAAAGAATGTTGTTTGGAAAAGGAGGACATCCAAGATACTTGGGAGTGGAACGGCTCCTCATCAGAGCAGATGCGACAGAGATGGAGGAATTGGGATAATGGGATGGAGTTTTTGCAGGATACTGAGTGTGAGAAAGTGTAGTCTAGGTAGCTATGGGAGTCTGTGGGATGGTAGTAAATGTCAGTGCATAAACTGTCGCCAGAAATGGAAATGGAGAAGTCAAGGAAGGGGAGGGATGTGTCTGAGATAGACCAAGAGACAGACAAAATTGAGGAGCAACACCTTATCTTCTACTTGGGCAACCTACAGCCCAGAGGACTTAACATTGAGTTCTCTACTTTCAAATAGCCTTCCCACCGATCTCCCGGCTCCCTTTCCAGCCCTACCTCGTCCTTCCATTCCACCTACCAACCCTTCCTTCCAGCTACCAAACGGATTCATCCCTCCCATTGACCAATCAGGTTGTACTTACAACTGGTGCTCAGCTATCACCATTCCACCAACCCACCAACTCTTTATCTGCAGCTCCCCTACCTCCACATCCAATCCCAAAGAAGGGTAAGGCCCAAAATGTTGACTTCTCCTTTCCTCCAGATACTGCCTGGCTTGCTGTGTTCTTCCAGCCTCCTGTTTGTACACCTCCTTCCTGACCAGTCCAATCCTGTTCAACACATCAAAATGCTGTACCATTAAATGCAATCCCAATTCCTATTTAGCACCAAAACTCCAGCTAACCTTCCCTCTTGTTATGAATGGTTACAGTGTCCTCATGGCTAGGATGTTGAAAGAAAAGCTATCATGAAACAAACATTCCAAAGTTTTACAGGGCAACATTGGGCACTTCTGAACTAGAAGGTCTGACATTAGATTACTCCTTCTTGCCACGAATGCCAGCAGTTTGGGCTAGCTGGCTGACTGGCAAAAACAAGGGCACTAGCCGAGGGGTAAAGCTTTGAAGATGAATGCTGTCAATTTCAGAGAGGATAAAGCATCTTCATAATTTACCAGTCAGTGCCACACCACAAGGGCAGTAATTCAGTAATCCTAGAATCTGCTGAGGCACACAATGTTGAACGGCTATTGGATCCTGCAAACTGCTTTCAACATTGATTTTCCGTGTGTATTATAACAGCAATCTGAATTTACATGATTTCAGACTGAGCTTCCACCATAATGTTTGTGCTGCAATGAAAGCAGAGACCATCTGACACATTTGGATCCACAACAAACGTATTAGTAGGGTTGGCCACAGCTTTCATCCTAGAAAGGATGAGTCAAAATTCCGCACAAAGCCCTGTGCAAAGCTGGTGCCAGATTCCTCCACATTCCCTAACAGTTCCTGCAGGGCCTCTGGCAGTTCTATAATATAGCAAGCCTTCCTTTCTCAGAAAAGCATTCAATTCTCTTTCAGTCATTGCATTATACACTTCAAAGGACATTACTGATGCATCATCCTCATGTTTACTTTCTTTTAAGAAGAAAAGATGCTGCTCAGCTTCTTAATGCAAAACATTTTAGAACTTCTATCCCCTTGTGTTTTAACCCTATCTTAAAGTGAATAGCTGTTCCTGAGTACTGCTTTTAGGCTTTTCAAATCATTCCTATTGTATTGAAGTGCAATTTAATAACTTGGTAAAGTAGAAATATCAAATCAGTAAGATCAAAGAAAAAATCTGAAGTTAAACAATGAGCAGAGCATCAAGACAGACAATATATGACTGGTTTATTTTATCAAATCCAATGCATCACTGTGAGCAATGTGTGCACTCAGAGAAACCAGTGCAAGGGACTGTTGGAAGAAGATCTCAAAATGGTGTCTAATTTGAAAATTGTCAAATTTTGTAATTGTTACTTAAGTAAATTGTCAAATGCCAACATCAGATACGGCTGTAATATCTCAGCCATTAGGTGTAATGATTTCTGAAATGGAAGTTACAAATGTGATGAGGTATATAGGATGAGATCATGACTTGTTCTGATGAATTCCCATCCAGTGTTAAAATATGAGGCAAAATCTTATAGGGGCCTGGACAACTCTGGCGAGAAGTGTGCAGAATTGTGCGAAACCTCCAGTGAGGCCTATTTGAATGATGGCAACAACTTGCTGCATCCTTTAACTAAGTTCTGAGAGCCAAGGTGAGGTTTGGGAGTGGTGAGTTGCCTGATGAAGGGGATTGTTGCTTGTTAATGACCTTACTCACCTCAAATTTCACCTGGTAAATATGCAACTTTCTATTGCACCATCCATTATCACAAGTAAACTTGTGGGCATGATCTGTATGCACCATTCGTGCACATCCCTTGACCACAGACATTGGCATCCAGTAATTGACAGCCCCTCAGTATCGTCATGTTACCTCTCCACTCCAATTGAAGGATGCTGGGGAATTTAACAGCTGTGTTTCTAGGTGCACTGACAACTAACATTGGAAGGCCACGACAAGGGCACTTTGCATCAAGGGACTCGAACTAAGCTCACAGATTGGATGAGCTGCATCTTAGAGCTGCTCACTTAATTTCTTAGCACTTATTCACTTAGTGCCTGCATGCATTCACACAGCATCCCTGTCTTGTCTTGCTATTGCCATGCACGGTCCTACATTAGCATTTCACACACACCTACTGCTGTACTGATGTGCTCTTTTGCTTGGATTCACAGACATGCTACATGTTTTCTCAACGAAATGCCCATGTTGGTAATTATGTGGAGGATCCTCAGTCCAGTCCTGGGGTGCCCCTCCAGCATAGCCTGGAAGAAGTGTACTGCATCATCCTGGGCTGTTGTGCTTCGCACGGTTGGAGCAGGCAACATGGCAATGTTATAGCTGCTGAGGAACTGGGACGATGGCAGCAGCCTTCTGAGGAGGAAGACAAGGACATTGAGGAGGAAGAAACTTTCTAGGTCCATGGCAGAGCTCAGCCGTACTGGGCACTACAAACCAGAAACGATCTTATTGACACCCAGTTCCAGTAGATGAAAATTGGGTGCAGCAGGCAACTGTAAACTATAAATTGTGGTCATCATGCTAGCATTTGGTTTGCACTGTGGGGGCAACCTCTATTCATTTTGCTTGTTTTTAATTTTGGTGGCTATAAATAAAAGTTCATCTTTGGAATTATCCAACTGCCTGCCTGTATGTGATGTTCCCCTACTGGACAATGACAAGATGTGGGTATACAGTGGCCATTTGGAACAGAACAGCAGTGACCTATTGGTGACCAGTGGTGATTAGATGGGATGGAGCTAAGGATAGATAACTGTTTGGCCTATTGTTTAAAGGGCAACTAGAGAGAGACAATGGAGTTGTATGTATGATGAAGTGTCAGCCATGCCAGCTACGAGCTGTTAGCATTGTGGTTCTGTGGCTGCTGTGTTAGTATGTTGCCAGTGAAGGGCAACACTGTATTGATAACACAGTCCAGGTTCACAGTAGCCTTATAAACACGGTGTGGGTGCCAGTTATGTTGATCTCTCAATGGATATCTGGTGAGCGGCGAGTTCTTCTGGGAACAGCGGGTATTAGGATGAAACTAGAGGGCCCCATAAGGGTGGGATAGGTAGTTAATGAGATGAGTTTGTTAAGATGTGGCAAGAAAACCCGCTAGGCCTCGCAGAGAGGAACTGTGTTTTGCATTAATATTGACAAACATTACTCATGTAACATTGATGGCTGAATGATTTACAGAAACCTATTAACATAAAGGCGTGGCAGGAAAAACTAGAGAACAATAAAGAAGTGATCAGGAGTTATTTGTTGTAACTGATAACATCCTTTTCCAAAATAAACATCGTACTATCATAAAGAATTTAAGTCATTCCAGGAGTCAGAAGTACATAGATCATAGAGGCTCTTATTGCAACTGAGCAAGGAAGTAGTGTTGATTATTTGATCCATTGGTAGATAGTAAGGAGTTGGTTTAGCTTATTTGACTGGTTGGCTGGTTTGCAAAGCAGAGTAGCACCAATAGCATTGGTTCAATTCATACACCAGCTGAGGTTACCATGAAGGGTTCTCCTTCTCAACCTTTCCTTTCATGTCAGGTGTGGTGACCCTCAGGCTAAGCTCACCACCAGTCTTCCCTCTCTCTAATGCTCACAGTGCTTTTTTGTGTGGTAGTGTGATCGAGCGGTCGAAGGTGCTGGATTCAGGTTCCAGTCTCCTCGGAGGCGTGGGTTCGAATCCCACCGCTGCCGCTTAGCTGGTAGCCAGTTGTGTTGGTTCGCTGTCATGCTGGAGCTGGGTAGGGGTGAGCTGCGTTTAAGTTGAAAGCAACAGAATAAAGCGTTTAGGGTGGCACGGTGGCTCAGTGGTTAGCGCTGCTGCCTCACAGCACCAGGGACCTGGGCTCGATTCCACCCTTGGGCGACTGTCTGTGTGGAGTTTGCACGTTCTCCCTGTGTCTGCGTGGGTTTCCTCTGGGTGCTCCGGTTTCCTCCCACAGTCCAAAGATGTGCAGGTTAAGTGGATTGGCCATGCTAAATTGCCCGTAGTGTTCAGGGATGTGTGGATTGGGGGATAGGTCAGGGTGGGATGCTCTTTGTGTCGGCGTGGACTTGTTGGGCCGAAGGGCCTGTTTCCACACTGTAGGGATTCTATGATAGCTCAATGGTCTAGCAGGATTTTAGCATCTTTACCTTTTACTTTAGAGAAAGGTTGTTATTATGGTATCAACAATTTAATCCCCACTTCTAGAATTAAATCATTGAGAAACATTATGCTGCTTATGGTTTGTTTTGCTGCTTAATCTTGAAGGAAATAGACCAATAAATTCGCACAAAGGACTTTAGTAGTATGCAAGAAGAGGACTCAAGAATAAACTGGGAATTATTGAATGAGCGGCATTCTGCTTAAAGAAGTTGAGATGGTTAGATGGTTGTATTGGATATAAAACCATATACTGATCAGAAAAATATTCGATCAGCTGCAATTTTTACTCCAGACAAAACTTTCACCAAATACATGGAAAAAATATCCTCTATGGGCTGGTTAAATTTACATTTCTAATGTCAATTTTCTTCTTCAGTAACAAAAACAGAAATTGAAACAGAACAGACCCTTAAGAAGGATCACTGACCTGAAATGTTAACTCTACTTTCTCTCCATAGATGCTGCCAGATTTGCTGAGTTTCTCCAGCAATTTTCATTTTTGTTTCAGATCGTCAGCATCTTTGTTTTATTATTGTGTTCCTCTACAGTGTTGGAGTGAAAGAGGTTTGGGTGCAAATCCCTCTGGGGAAAGATGTTTCTTAAAGTAATGATTCCGAAGGGTGTTACATTGGTTCATTTTACTGATCTCACAGTGGACACAAGAAACTCTACTTTGGTTTTCTCAGATGTTTCTGTACCAGTTTCCTGAAGTCCGGGTATTTATACCTTACCAAATGTACTTGTACTAATTGCTGTCATGCAATATGTTTTCTTACTATCTAGGAACAGTGCAGCTTCTGCTAATACTCTGTGATGGTGTATACATTCCCACTGATCACTAGGCAGGTCTAAGCCAAAGTAAGGACAAAGGAGGATTGGTGGCAGTGAACTACCTGAAGCAATTCTGATTTGCACAACATTGATTTTGAGGCATTTGTATGCAAAGAATACAACTTGTGTGGTCGAGACTCTCCACCAGCTGAAGCATGGACACTGATAGACACTGAAGCAGCAATAGCTGCATTTTCAGAGGGATCACAGTGAAGGGTCCCAATAGGCGGCCCAGAAACTCTAACCTTATTTTGGCTGAACCAAAATGCTGAATCTCGGTGAGCATGCCTACTTAGGGAACTTCTGAAGCAGCAACAAGGAATGAGTTCTTCTGTCAGTATTTCCAGAAGCTGTGTTCAGTTTTGGAGAGAGAATTGAGGACTATATTCTAATCTTCTCCAGGCATAGGTGAGGCTGAGGAAGTTTGCCATGGGTATCTCAGCACCTTGAGCAGGGAAATGAGCAATCTACCTTCAGTATCACTGCAATTAGAATGGTAACATGATGTCAGATGTAAAGATGGATTTTTAAAATTTTTTTTTATTGTGGATTGAAATGGAAGAAGGATTAATTTAAAATTGGTGGAAAATGTTGCTGTAACTTTCGAAAACAGGTTACTTGACACTCATTGTAAATGCTGTTTACAAGGACTGGGGAGGTTACTGCAGATGAGCTGGATGTGTACAAAGGAAATTTGGTTGGCTACAAGTTGCTGATTGGTCTGTAGTCTGCTGACCACTTGTCAATGACAAAGGCCTTCTTGCTGTCAACAACAATGGGATTAGCTCCCAGGTGGCCTAAAATCCTATGGATGTGAATAGGTGGTCAGAAGCTGTTGGATCTCTGAAAAAGAAGGTGCTGTACTTTTCTCTGCATTAATAAAAAAACAAACACCTCAAGCCTGAAGAAAGACAGTTTATTTTTCTTCATCTATTGCTGTAAGCTGTGGCTCTTAACCAAGACGTTCGGGACTTTAAAAGTGTGAACTCCAGTTGCTCTGTGCTGCTTGAAAATAAGTGAAAACACCTGGAGAAAGAAGATTCAGGACCAACAAATCCTGATAAGTCAAAAGGACCACCTTAATGAACCCTGTGGACAATGGCTATTGAACTACCTTCCCAGCCTTTCCTTCCGTAATGTGTGTGTGTGTGTGTGTGTGTGTGTGCGCGCGCGTGCATGTGTGTGTGTGTGTGTGTATGTGTGTGTGTGTGTGTGTGTGTGTGTGTGTATGTCTAGGGGGAGTTTTGTAAGGGGGTTAGACTTTCAACTAGCAGAGTGATATGTCAATGGTTATAGTTGTTTACTTGTAGCTAGAATCTATTTGTAACAAATAACAATTCTTGTTGAGTACTGAGACTTGGTCCAAGCTTTCTCTTGATTTGGGAACAAATCAACAGCTTATTCAGTTATTGTCCTGGTAATGGTACGGCTCCTGTTTTATCTCTTTACTGGCTCACTGACAACATTCCTTACAAGAGCTAAGTATCAGCTTGCATCTGCTACTCATATCCTTCTAGGTGATAGAGGTTTCAGATTTGGAAGATGCTGACAGACAAGGTTTGGTGAGTTGTTGCAGTGCATTTTGTAAATGGTACAGATTGTTGCCCCTGTGTCCTGGTGGTGGAAAGAGTGAAACATAATGTAGTTGATGGGAGGCTGATCAAATGGGCTGCTTTGTTTAGGATTGTAGCAAGCTTCTTGAGTTTCTTTGGAGTTGCAGATGTTCAGGCAAGTGGCGAGTATTCCATTACACTGCTGACTTCTACCTTGTAGATGCTGGGCTGGCTTTGGAAGACAGGAGCTGAGTTGCTTGCCACAAAATTCTCAGCCTCTGACCAGCTGTTGTAGCCATTGTGCTTTATTTAAGTACAGTCCAGTGAATTTTCTGGTGAATTGTAATTCTCAGATGTTAAAGTTGGTGGGTAGGGTTCAGTGATGGTAATGCCATTAAATATCCAGCTAGGGGTGGTGATTAGATCTTTTTTCTTGTTAGAGAATGTAATTGCCTGACACTTCACCTCATCTATCCCTATACCCACACATTAACAACCCCTCTACACAATCCCCACATTGTAATCATCCTTTGTTGACACTTCTACACCCCCTTTAATCCGTCACCCACGTGCAAGTGGAAAATTTTCCTCCTGACTTCCATTGACTTGATTCTGCACTGGGAAAAGGCGAGTGAATGGGAGAGAATTAGGGATTATTTTATATCTAAAGTCTAATTTTTCTTTAATGTAGCAATTGACTAAAAGAATTATTTAAGTTAAAAGAGGTTAATTTTTATTACGGTCTACAATAGAGTAATATAAGGTCTCTGAGAGGAGCTCCAACTATTTAAAGGGGTGGCTGCTTAAAATTGGTTTTCAGAAGTTTCAATTCAGATGTATCTGGGACAGGATTAAAAAAGGCTGTTTTCATTTGCAGAGATTTGCTTTTCATATAGACAATATGAAGTAAGAATTTGGTGAGTGAGGGAGTTTGGTGAAGAAGGCCAAAGGTTCTCTTTTTTCTACACTTTTTAGGATTGAGTATTTGGCTGCTGCTTTGGAACAGATGAAGCTGATTGGTGATTAACTGGTAAGTTTCTCTACTTATTCTTGTTCAAACAAATTGCTTTCAAATTTACAATATGGCAGGACAGCTTAGCCAATTGGAATATACATCCAGCGATTGGTGGAAAGTCATGGGCACACCATATGTTCTAGATGAGCACATCTGCAAAAAGCATCTCTGGCTGCACAAACATGAGACCCAGATTTCAGAACTCAGTTCTGAAGAAGGGTCACTGAACTCAAAATGTTGACAATGCTTTTGCACCATAGATGCTGCCAGACCTGCTAAATTTCTCCAGCTATTTCTGTTTTTGTTTCAGATTTCCATCATCTGCACTTCTTTATTTTTTGTTTAAGTGAATATGAGCTGGCTATTGAATGGATTACTTTAGATTTTGTATTATGTAATGAAAACGGCATAGTTAATAACCTCGTCATAGAGCAAACTTTAGGGAGAGTGGTCATAATATGACAGAATTTTAAGTTATGTTTGAAAGTGAGGTATTTCAGTCTGAAACAAGGGTGTTAAATTTGAATAAAGGAAATAAGCATGAGGGGCAAATTGGCTGAGGTTTACTGGTGCAATGCATTAAATGATCTGAAGGTACATAGGCAATAGATAATGTTTAAATAATTATTGCATTGTTCAAAGAAACTATATATTTTTGAAAGAAATAAAAACCCAAAAATGTCAGTCAACTGTGGCTAACAAAGGAAGCTAAGGTTTATATAAAATTAAAATAAAAGACCTATCTAGGTGCCAGAAATAGTGAAGATTGGAAAGATTTCAGTATAGCGAGAAGCTGATAAAGTTGAATATGAATGCAACCTAGCAAAAGATATCAAATTGGCCTGTAAAAGCTTCTTTGGACATATAAAATGGAAATATTGGCTATGACAAATGTGGGCCCATTATAGACAGAGTCAGGAGAATTTATAATGGAGAATAGAGAAATGACAGAGAAATTAAACAATTAATTTGGGCAAGTTCTTACCAGCCTCTGGATTACATTGGCTCTGGTGGGATAAGTGTAAGAACAAGCAAGATATTTGGTAAGGCTGATGTTGCTATTGAGATCATCTCATTGTATCCTGGTCCCTTTTGTCAAGCAGCATGGTGAATTTCTTGCTATGCAGCAGTGAATTCCCATTTAATG